ATACACATACATACATGAAATTAAACACATTTCATCACTGATGCATATATATATATAATAGATTATATATTACATATGAAAACATTTCATACATGAAATTAAAATTAATTTTTATATTCATAAAATTTAAATAAATAACCATTATATATATTATTATAAGTTATCTAAAAAAACAAAACTTGGCATGTGATAATTCTGTTCACTTATATATATATATATATATATATATATATATATAATAGATTAAAAATTTTACATAAATTAATGTAGCCAAAATAAAAGGTGAATTATACGGGACTACAAGACATGATTATATTTTTTCACCATATTAAATGAACAAATAGGTTTCACACGAAAATTTTAATACAACTTAATGGTAAAAGAACAGGAAAGTGATCATGAATTAAAGTGAAAGAGATATATATATATATATGTATATAATTAGCTATACGTATATATAATTACCCCTTGAAGAAATCCGTCGTTTAGGCCAGAATCAGCGCGCCACTTGACCCTCTGGTTGGCTGGCAGTTTCCCAGACCTCTGAGCTTCAAAGAACATGAAGGTCTTATCCAGAGCATCAGCATAGTTGAAGTCGGCGGCAATGGCTGTCTCCAAACCCATCACCATTACAATAACCAACAAGAATCTCATGCTTATACCGGACCTCATCATTATAAATTCCTCTTCACAAACTCTCTTTAATCACTTACTCTTTGCCCTGCCTTGTGTGTGTATATATATATATATAGTTCCCCGTGTATGCGTGTATATATATATAGGAGGAGTAGGAAATGGAGGATGAGCATGAAGAAATAGTTAGAGAGAAAAGCATAAATGTTTCTAAATAATTTCATGTAATGATTGGTTCGGATGGTGGTAGCCTCCACGTTTATTTACATGTCAAACCTTTGATACTCTTAAGTAGAGCTTCCCACGTTGTATCTAATGGATTATTATATTATTATATATTGTTAATCTAAATGTATTATATTTTCTATTTTTTAAGAATTAAAGTCAAGATTCATTGATATTATTTACGTTCATGCATACTTCCTTTTTAATATATAAAAGACAATGGATACACACACACACACACACACACACACACACATATATATATATATATATATATATATTAAGGAATATAGTATACACTATGGCTCCTTTTGATACAATGTTAGGATAGGACAAAGGGTGTATAAGATCTATCATAACCCTCCTTCCATCTTTATCCATTGATTAAAATAGATAAATAATTTATATGTTATTCGTATTTCTAAAATAATTTATCTAATATTTTTATTTAAATTAATTATGTATAATTATATTTCGAAACTTGAAATACAGTCGAGATAAACAATATTGAAATTCTTAAAGTGTTATGCGTTTTTAAAGAGGAGGAAGATAGATGATCATGTTGATTTCAAAACAGAGACTTTTGAAAAACATATCATGATGATTTGAAGAGTATCGCAATCTTAAGGTTGAGGATGCATGAAGACAACTTGCCTCTACTTAAGAATAATTTAAAATATTTTAGAAGTTTCTAATCAAAGATTCATGGATAACGTAATAAAAAGAATGCTAAAATAAAGACAAAAAAGAAGATGATCGAGTATGATTGACCAACTTCAAGATTTTTTTATGTATAAGCTACTAACACAAGATCCATGTTCATCACATTGGTATTTTGGTTTTTTTTTTTTCTTTATAATGATAACTGGTAAGATGGTTAACATATATTTAGTTATCTGAATATTATTAGCACATAGTATATTTAGTAATATAAAATTTTATTAGAACAAAAATGAATAGTAAAACAAACATTTAACTTTTTGTATTTTTATTTATTTATAAAAAATATTACTATTTGTTATTATTATTATTATTATAAGTATTGTCGCTTGCCAATACTATCACTATTATTATAATTATCACCATATTACTATCAGTATTGTCATTGTTGTCGCTATCACTTCTATTATTTTACTGTTTTTATTAATGTTGCTTCGCTATTACTATTACATTTTAATAACATAAGTTCATTTCTTAATGGGTATACGCAAGTTCACTAGTTCATTTCTCGACTTTTTAGTAGACAAACTAATAGTGTAATAGTTCGTCTCTTGCGAAAAAAAATTCATCCAATCGTGTGCATGTTGAGTTCTACTTCTTAGTAAAGCGGCGAATAAACAGAATTAGTACATTCGAATATCTTAAAATAATATAATAATTAATTTAATATTTAGGCGTCTGTCTATAAATATCTAATAGATTCAAGAAATTTAATTAAATATGAAGGCATATGGAAACTATGTGATGGCAGATGGTGAGACATGTAACAACATTACACATGACACATGATAATTAGAGAGCGAAACCATTCTTCTGCCATCACTTTCATGGCGCATATACAACAACCATCATAAATCCACGCCATTAATGTCTCAACTGTTACAAATCTATTCCTCTGGTTATTAAAATAAACTTATACCAACACACATTAATACACTGTTTAATGGTTGGTCTCGGGTCATGTTGCCAGGAATTTGCTATTTGATTGCTTTCTTGTCCTGTGGATACATATATATATATATATATATATATATAGACACAGATACACACACATGCACATATATATATATATATATAATATACTCCATCTAAATGAAAGGGATGAAGAACTAACCAAAGACAATGAAGGAAGAAGAGAAAAAATTTGGGAGGTTGATATGTTAGTGAATGTTGTAGGGAGGTGTTATTCTTCATTTTTCATTCTTCCTGTTTATATATATATATATATATATAGTAGAGATGTATTTATATATACCGATCGCTACATTTAATTTGATATAAGTAGATGAAAGTTGATCCGTTTTATATTGGTACTTTGTCCTTAACATGTATAGATTCTCTTTTTATCAGAGTTTTTCACATGCATTGCATAGTTTTTTTATTTATTCCTCTAGCTGGTTGATGGCGTTTGGCGCCTGAGAAAATCTAGATTAAGAAACTACATACATACATATATATATATATATGACTCAGAGAATAGACTTTATTATTTTAAATAATTTATACCAATTATTACATGAAGTTCAAGCTAATAAATAAGAGTGAATTAGTCATTTTCAGTCTGAACTGAAAAATACCAATCTAATTTATTCTGGATCAAAATTAAAATACTAAATATATAAATACATATATATATATATAGTTTTAATACTGCTGCTACTTCATATGACATGAAATTAGGTAGTCCATGGCATGCTTCTTACTCCTGCAAATATAAAAATATTATTACGCCGCATTCTTCGTTAATTACTTATGTTTTTAGAAAATGATAATAAATTAAAAATAAGGGCATAATACGACATCGTTTCAGAGTATTATTATTATTATTTTCACTATATTTAATTATGAATTTTCGTAACCATACATATGATTACAAAATAATTTTACCTGAATAATAAAACCAACAATAATTAAATATTAATTTTATTACATACATGATTCCTACTTGACCCTATGCTCATTAATATTCGTACTTCACCGTCGGCAAATCCAGAACGTCACCGTCTCCGGCGAGTCCAAGTCATCAATAGGAGTGTCGATGCGAATAATCCACAAGGCCCGCAGCTTCTCACCACACGATCATCGAATCCCACCACGTGCATGTCTCACGCTCACAGGATCCCGCATTCATCTCCTTACTATTACTTGCATTATTCTATTTATTCCCTCGTAGCAGACGCACAATTTTTCAACATCTCATCCTCATCAAGTCGATAATTTTATCTTCTATTTATTGTTTGATATTTCTTTTCTTTTCTCCGTTAAAGACAATTAACTAATTTGTTGCGTTCCGTGTCAGTTTCTTTTCTTTTTCTTTCTTGATTTTGCTTCCCCCTTTTTTTTGTCAGTATAAATACTCCCACTCTTGTGGCAGACCGTGTTTCTTTGGTGGGGATTTGAGTTTTTTTGTTTGGTAAGAAAATGGCGTGGCGTAATTGTGGAAGTGGGTTTTGGGAGTTGAGGCCTCTGGTTCACTTACTGTTGCCTTTATCTGTTCACTGGGTTGCTGAGGAAATGACTGTTTCTGTTCTTGTTGATGTTGTTACTCGTGCTCTTTGTCCTGGTCAATCTACTTGCCCTCAGGCTATCTATATCAGTGGACTCCAACAAACGGTATATGCCCATCTCTACTGTGTCTTTATCTCTATCTCTCTTTCTTTGGTTGGTAAGAAAGTCACGGAAAGGAAATGGGGTTATTGGGCTTATGATTAGTTCTTTCTATCTATTTTCTGCTCTTTCTTTGTTTTGTTGGTAAGAAAGTGAAGGAAATGGAAATGGGATTGTTGAATTTTAGGAGGTCTGTTCTTTAATTCATTTGATTGAACTCCAGTCAATGAATAGAACTAAAATTGAAAACGGTCAATTCATTTGGTGGAAGAGTTCTTATGGGTTCTCTTGATCCTTTCTACTTCGTTGCTTTCTTCTGTTCTTTGTAGTCTAACATGTTTTTGTTATTTCTGGTTGTGGGGAAAGATCAAAAACTTCTCATGGTTGTTTTCGCTATTGGTCTCATATTTTTCTATAATTTATCTTCTCATCTAAACATATATTTATTCCTGTTCAGACCATGTTAATTATTAAGCTAAAGTTATGTTCTGGTGATTTGCTTTTTGGATTGAGTAATTCTCAGCCAGATATAATATAAAGCAAATATTTCTGTCCTTTTGTCTGTGCTGCTAATTTCTCTTTTCAATTTTACTAATCAGCTGATGGGGACAATAATTGATACATGGGGTATTAAAATAACGTGAAAGGGCTAAAGAACCTTTTTCTCTCTGTAACTTTTCTTTGGAAGTTAATGGGGAATAAGCTAGTGGATTTCCCACGCTGGAATTTTGTTGGTTTCTTCATTTTGTTATATATTTAAGTGGATTTCCTACAGTGAGTTTGTTGGTTTCTCTATCTTTATTATATATTTAAGTCTTAGCTTCAAAGAATTCAGCTTGAATTCTGCAACAATTTATGCTGCACTTGACAGTTCTGTATTTCACGAGCTGCTGCCAAAAGCACTTGGAAATGATGAATGATGATTGTTAATTAATTAGCAAATACTGATTCCATAGACATGTGACATGTTTGAGGTTTTTTATATGGAAATTTCTGTCTTGAAGTTTCTGCAAGATGATTATTTTGTCATTTTTTGTTGATTATATTGACTTCATGGACTTGTGCATTTTGGTATCTCTTTACGTGTGTGCCATGACTTTTCTGCATTTCACTTATTAATGTGAAATGCATGGGATAAGAAGCTGGGTTTATTGTTAGCCTTTATGAAAAGTGGAGTTACATTATTTGGAGTGCAAAATAATAATGGTATATAGAAATGGTGATGAATGCCACCGATGTGGTCTAACAGAAAAATATTTTTGCTTAGTTGCTTGAGCTTTTTTAGCTTCTTCTTTGATGCAATATTTAGTGATATTGAAGAATGAGACTCGTGATTGTCCACTTCAATAAAGTGATAAGTTCTGTAAATTGTGCAGTAGAAGAAATATAGTACATCATGATTAGAGATCAACTTTTATCTAGGAAAAAACAATACATAAGTGGAAAAGGACCTCCTTTCTATGTTGTTGATAAAAAGTTGCCTCTCTTCTGTTCTCAGTCTCTTGACATGTCAATTCAATGTTTGAAATTTTTTTCACGGTTGATTTCTATTATAGAGGCACATCTGTAACTTTATGTTGTAAATGTTTCTTGGCTAGCTGAGCTTAGCTTAGTGCATATAAAAGTTAATTTTAACTTGTCTGAAAATATGGAATTTTAATGGGATGATTAACCTGATCACTAATTGGTGATTGTTTAATATGAACGAAAATTTTGCTCTCCTAGAAATTTAAGCAAGCAAAATTGTGGAAATTTTGTATTGTTATGACCCCAAGAGAAAGGGAAGTGATTCTGTCTAAAAGTAATGAGACACAGTATGTAATGCAGTGCCATATCCAAGAACACAATTCTAAATTACCATGATTTAGGGAGTTGCTAATGTTGATGGTGATTGAGTAAGATACAATGTTCTGATGAACTATATATATATATATATCATTTACCATTTATGATATTGAGATTTATGCAATATCATGATTGTAGATTGTTGGAGTTTTCAAGATGGTGGTAATTCCACTTCTGGGCCAGCTTTCAGATGAATATGGGCGTAAACCATTGCTCCTTGTCACTGTATCTACAACCATTCCTGCTTTTGGTATGTTCTGCACTTTAGATTATTTTTTAAGAAGGAAAATGGCCATCCCCAATGCTTGCCATATCCTGGATTATGTTCGTTCTCTGCCTCTTGTCCTGAACATATTTGGTAGTGACAACCTTAATTATTATAACATAATCACGCTCCCACTGTAGTTCTTGATAATATCTCTCCCTTCCAATGACTCTGTTGTAATTGTTAAGCCCCCTATTTATTCTCAACTCAAAGTATTTGGAGGTCTACCTTGTTTTACTATAGCCTTATGAGTACGTGAAACTAGAACACATAGCTCATTTGCGCTACTTTCTTGGTTAGGAGATAGAGTATAGGGGTTACATTGTAGGAATCCTCCTTCAAATACGTAACATATTTCCCAAGTTTATATTTAAAACCAATTTGTATACAAACTTTCTACAGGGTGATGTAAGGTACGCAGAAATGTAACACGATTCGATTCAAGAGCTACTCAATTATGACAAAACTGTTCATTAGTTATTTTCTGAACTTTATTATTCATGTAATTTCAAATAACGTTATGAGATCTATCAAGATTTTTCTCATTTCTTTTGCTTTTCTCTTTATCAGCATTGCTTGTTTGGAAGCAGTCCAAGGAAGTTGTCTATGCCTACTATGTGATCCGTACGATATCTTTTATTATCAGTCAAGGGAGTATTTTCTGCATCGCTGTTGCTTATGCAGTATGTTCCAGTTTCTCGTTCTTGATTGAAATTCATCAATGATGAATTCTAGGCATCACAGTTTTTCCTTGTCTTATAGGCAGATGTTGTCAGTGAAAGTAACAGGGCAGCAGCATTTAGTTGGATTACAGGTCTCTTTTCACTTTCCCATGTATTGGGAAATCTACTAGCGCGCTTTCTTCCTGAGAAGTACATTTTTGTGGTGTGTTGCTGTGATTTCTTTTAAATTTGCTCCACTCCTTTAAGTGCTATTTAATTCCTTCTTTAATATATATGTGCGTATGTATGTATAACATTCACTTATTTCAATATATATATAACGTTCACACTGAGTCAACATTTCTTTTCAGGTTTCAATAACTCTCTTGATATTCTGTCCAGTTTATATGCAACTCTTTCTGAATGAGACAGTTCAGTATGCTCCAAGAAGGGAGCAAGATTCAGGTTTATTGAGTAAAACAGTTAATATTGTTCGCAACAGGTATAAGTCAATGAGAGATGCTGCAACAATAACCATTTGCAGGTAGTTGATCAAACTAACATTTGTATTTCGTTCTGGTTAAAATATTGTACTCAAAGTTCTTTGTCCAAAAGTTCTATTCTGTTATCTGCCTAAGGATCCATGTTTCTTCTTTTCTCCTTTTCATTTTGCACTTGCAGTCCAACGCTTCGTGGCATTGCTATTGTTAAATTCTTCTACTCATTGGGAATGTCTGGCATCAGCTCCGTGTTACTGGTATGCATCCTGTTGATATACTAATGGATGAGATAACTATACCTGTTGATATAATCATTATCTAGAGTAACACCACTTCAGGAACCAACCTTGCATACAAAGGTGGAAATTATTCGCTAGAAGGAAACAACCTTGAAACAAACAAACAAATAAAAACTCTAAGGTTTGCAGTAATAGAAAATTCTACCAAAATAATACAAAAGAGTATAAGAAAAGCAAATTTGTCTTCAGGACAAACTTAAATATCTCAAGTCCCTACTGGACATATTTCTGTTCTAGGATGTCATTGTAGTAGCTTCAATATTAGTCAATTAAATAGACTAATAACATAATGTTCACAACTTCAAACAGTGATTTTGAGTAAATAGATTTAGTAGCCTCCTTAATATTTTTGAATAGGTTGATTAATTGGTATAGGTGCTAAATTTTCTCAGGCATGTTAATAACTGCTACTTATTCTGATACATGTGGTTATGTTGAGATTTGTTTTACTTTTCAGTTTAAGCTGACTGTTATTACGTTTTGCAGTTTTATTTGAAGGCAGTTTTTGGCTTTAACAAGAATCAGTTTTCTGAAATCTTGATGATGGTTGGGATAGGTTCTATTGTTTCTCAGGTATGTGCTCTCTGCCAACTTACTTGTTTGTGTTATTTAATTCAGAAATGTGGCAATACAACTTCATAAATATTATTGTGAGATTTCTCATAAGTAGTACTTTAGTCCCACAGATGAAACTATAACTATATATATATATATATATAGGAGAAGCACATTGTTTATACTTTAATTTGACCTTGCTGTCTTTTTCTTTGCGCCATTGTTTTCCCTTGGGCGTCAATTTTGTTTGTCAGATGAAAAGATGATCTGATGTCAGACCTCATGCAGTCTTTGAACCTGACATTCCCTTTTAATAAGTACCTTCCAAAGTTGACAAATTTTCTTTCATCTTGATTCAATCAGTCTGGGTGGATGTTTAAGTTTGTAGTACAAAAAGCAGTC